CTTGTGATTGAGAGTCTTTGAGTGTGGTGCTTTGCTTCTTTAAGGAAGCCTGCTGAGTGGTGTTATAAGACAGTTAGTGTTTTGATTCATTCTGAATCTCTTGCTGATTGTGGCTATTGGTTTGTTCCACCCCCATTTGCTGTGTGTTGTAAAAATCAAGAATGATAGATGAGTGGCTCTTCCGTGACAGATAAACATTTCTTATTTTCTTCAGTTTAAAGAACTAAATTCTGTGTGCATTGATGGCTTAACGTTGAGTTAGACTTGGGAAAGGAACATAGGCTGAGAGTGGCATCAGTTTAGCTCTGTTTAAACGGCTGTAGCTAAATTGGAGCAAATTGTTAATGTCAGAAGATTTGTTTCAGTTCTTCAAATTCTTAGTTCTAGTTTAAACTGCAATGGTGAATGCATTGGTTTAAAAACAGTGTCCAAGTCTGCTGCTCTTTCAAAAGATAAAGCTTTATAATTTAGAAGAAGTCTTTATGATGAGAAATTCTAAAGCTATGGGCACTGGGGATGGGGGTGGTTTGCAACTCTGAAAGTGATGAGAGAGGAAGAATTTGAACCTTTCAGTGATTTCCTACTTTGAATATGATTGCCGAGTGGTTTATGTAAACCCATTTTATGTTGCAATCCAACAGTCTTAGACACATGAGTCTTCCTTCCTCTGAGGGAATGATAATTGACAGCTGAAAAGCAGTAACTTCTTGGTGGTTTTTAATGTGATGACAAACATTCATCTGAACACAGTCCTTCATGTGCTCGAGAGGGAAGAATACTTGATCATTGCGTGTCATGAAGAAATCGAAAAAGTACATCTCTGTGCTGCACTCTGTGCAAATGTAGTCAGTATAAACTCTGTGTCCTTCTTCAGACCATATATTAGAAAGGCGTTAGATTGAAAAGTACTATCTGTAGATGAAGGAAACAAAAGATTGGATTACTTGCATAGTTTTCAGGGACAGAGGAAGAAAATGGTTCTCCTGGACCAGAATGCATATCATTGCCACCATAGGTGACTATGTCATGCCATATTAAGGTGGAACAAGAGCATTATGTTGAAACTAGTTTGTCTTTTTTTTGAGTCTATTCATCCACTGCCCTGCTGTGAGCAAGACAAATTTGTCATTTACTGCTAAAGTTATTACTTACAACGTACGGACCCGAGTATTGTTAAAGCTGAATAGTGTGGATTTTGAAATTCTTCATGTGAGTTTCTGCTTCTACCTACAGTAGAGATGGGTACTTAGATCTTTTCAAAGGAAGGCCTATTACTGCATTTGCAGAGCTCACAGCTTAGAGGAATGGTGAGCCTGCTGTATGCCTTTTTTTTAGCCATATCTACTATTATAATTAAGTCTCACTCCTTACTAACTCTTTTAAATCCCTAGAGTGTTATACAACATAATTACCACTGCGGTGTCAAGATAGAGGTAAAGTAGTTAGAACTGTACTTAGATGTTCACTTTGAAAGTAAAGCTTTCCTTATTTTTAAATCAGTTGGCTTCCTGTGAGATATCATGGTAGAAGAATTTGTAAAGAATTGTATATGTGGAGGAGCTAAAGCCTTGCAAATGAACTTGGGACATGTGATTTCATGAGAGACATGCCAAAGAAGCTTTTGGGAAGGGAAGACGAGACATCTGCTTGGTAGTGTGTAAGAAATGATGTGAAATAAATCTAAATAAAAGGCTGTTTACTTGAGTTCCCCTTACTTTTAATGATATGTGGATTCAATGGTAAAAAATAAAAAGGTGTGCTTTGAGGGTGTGACCTTCCTACTTTTGTACTGCTCCTGTCCTCAGATTTTTAAGTATTTTTACGTATTTCATAACAGAATAAAACGGATACTTGGTAGAGATGAAAGGGGAGTAGAGCATTTAGCTTTTCTAACATGCTGCTGGTGAGGCTTTCTGGAATCTTACCGCACTTCTGATAAACTCTTGAGGGAGGTGCTGGAAATAGAGTAGCAGATAGTTCTATAGATACGTGTAACTGCTTAAAGTGAGTGGCAAAGTTGCAAGATACTCAAGAGGCTAGAAGCTTGAATTTGGTTTAATGGAGACGATAAAAGGACAGATGTGATGAAAATTCAGTACTTTTGTATGGACTCGTGTTGAGACACAAGAGGTGTGGTTAACCAAGAGGCAGGAATCTGAGAAAACTGTTGGTAATGATAAAAGAAAAAAAAAAGTCTTGAAGATGTGTAAAAGGTTTCAGCAGAATCTGGAAAAACCCAGGATGCATATTAAGCAGATAAATAACTTTGAGTTGTGTGTTTGGGAGAATGCTTGTGGTCGGCTGGGCTAACAAGTTGGGAAGGAAGATAGGTTGTGTTCTATCCATAGTTGGAAGAGAGAGAGAATGGGTGAACTGGAGATTTGATGTAATTATTTTATAATTTAAGCAGTAGTCCTTCAGTTCTGCCAAATACAAGGTTAAGTGAAAAGAGAGGCTCCTAGATAGTGTATTATACAGAAAGGGAGTTTGGAAACCTGATCAGCAGTTAAAGAAAAACTGGAAATACATGCTTGTTATTTCACCTATTTCTTCTGAATGT